GAATGAATGAAGAAGTGAGTTGAAGAGTAGTAGATAGGAAGAATTGAAATCAGATCATTAGAAGTGGGTCAGATGAAGTAGCTCTTATAAAGTATGCAAGTACTTTAAATTTTAGTCATATATTAAAGAGTAGCTGAAAAGTTTGAGGCAGAGGAGTCACCTAATATGGTGATTTTTTTTTTCTCGGTGCTGGAGATTAAATTCAGGGGTTTGAAAATTCTAGACAAGTACTCTGCTACTGAGCTACACACTAGCCCTGATGTATTTTTAAAATGATAGTTCTTGATGTTATCTACAAAAATGTTTATAATGGTCCAGTTGGAAAAATAGGAAGCATAGGAAAATAGGGAGATAAGTTGACTATTGAAAAAACTTAGGCTTGGGCAAAAGTGGTGGTGCTGTAGGTGTTGGAATAAGTGGTTTTAATCTGAATACATTTATTTTCCATTGAGTATATCGGTACTTTTTTATGGAGTTTATTGGTACTTTTTAAGTACACATTGCAGCTACATTCATCATTAGGATCTTGTGCCTTTGCATGGCAGGTCTTGGTTCTCATTTTTTCCCCACACCCCTGCCCTCCCTTTGCCCCATCTGCACTCCCCTATTTACAAAGACTTTGTTTCCATTTTTTCCTTTTGTCATATTTTTTCTTTTCCCTTATTTCCTACCCTTCCCACTTTCCCTACACCTTTAGCCCCTTTCTTCCCATTTCACATTGTCAGTTATACAATTTGGATCTTATTTACACTTTCAGTTTTTCATGCCAGAGAAACTATTTGGTATTTACACGCGTTTGTCTCATTTATTTCACTTAAGAGTATGGCTTCACATGCATCCATTTTCCTATGTAAGCTGAATACATTTTGAAGGTAAAGCCAAAAAGATTTGTTGACAAATTGAGAGAATATTTTTGACTATAAAAACTGAAAGACTGATAGGACAGCTATGAACAGATTAATGATTTGAGAGGAAAGCAAGAGTTTGTTAGAGCATATGAAATTTAAAATGTATGATGGGAATATTATCAGTCAAGTTAGGCTAGGTTAAGAAAAGGAAATAAGAGTTCTTCAGATTGTTGGCTTAATAGAACAGATTTATTTCTATTTTGCTTTAAGTACAACAAGGATCAGTAGTAGGCTCTGCCCACTTCAGTAACTCAGAGGACCAATGAAATGTGGGTCATCTCTAGGCATAGGCTTCACTGAAAGCCAAGACAGGAAAGGGCATATTCCTACTATAATATGCTCTGCAAGGTTTTCCAATGTAAATGGAGAAACACTTTCTGGTCAATTTCATCAAAAAGATATTCATATGGATAAGTACATGGTGGAGGAGGTTCAGAGAAACCCAACTGTACTGTGCACCAGAAGTTGGAGAGTATAAAAAACTAACAATGTCCATAATTAAAAGTAAATGCTGCATAGGCTGATAGACATTTGTTTCATAACAGGTGAATAAGCAGGATTGGAAGAGGTAGCTATTATGGAAAAATATACATTGATATCCATAGTTTACAGATAGCTGTTGTAGTTATGAGGATGAATGAATTCTACAAAGGAAAATACAAAGCCCAGGAGAGAGAAAAGATGCAAATAAGGAATACTTCATGAAGGAACATTTAAATTGTATATCAGAGAAGAGAAAATGATGAAGAGAAGGAAAAATACCAGGAAGTATGGATAATATAAAATTAAAAGCTTAGGGCCGGGGATTTGGCTCAGTGGTTCCGTCACCTGCCTCGCAAGTGCAAGGGCCCAAGTTTGATCCCCAGTACCATTAAAAAAACAAAAAACAAAAAAACAAAAAAAACCCCTAAAATGAAAAGATTCAATTATATTTGAGAGGATGAGGAAGCTTGAAATGCAAAATGAGTGAAAAATAACATGTTTCAAGGACTTAGGCGTAACTGAATTGTAAGTAGATAATCTGAAAGAGTCTCACCATCTCTTTTACCCTAATCTTTTCTTTGCAAAAATTAAATGACCAGCCTATAATAAACACATGGTAAGGCTGGCCTCACCACTTCATTTCAGCCATGGCCTATTCTCTCTGGGGAGCAGGTGAATTTCTGTACAATATTCTATGAATAATGCACTAACTTTATTAGACCAAATCACCTTACCCAACAGTGAGATCATTATCTGTAGGAGGGGAAAACACTTTAGTGTGCTGAGAGTTGCCTTAAGAGTCTTCACCAAGGACATTGAGATGTCAGCACACGCAGTGTCACAGGAATCTGTTCCTAGCTGTGTTTTTCACTTTACAAAGAACAGAAAATTCATATATCATATATCTTCATTTATGAAGAAAAAAATAATAAATTTCAGTTTAAGTTTTTTGCACTGATGTTAAATATGGATATATGCTGTTCTAAAGATGATTATGGGTACTCTTAGAAGTTAGGAGATTAATACCAGCTTCTCAGACCTGTAAACCCCACTTTTTCAGGTTTCATATTTTTATCTTTCATATATTTCAAGTTTACTAAAAGTTTTCTCAGAATTCCTGTTAAGGGGTATTCTCAGAGTACATAGACAGAGTTTTAATTTACAGTCAATTCCAAAATATCTTTAAAATCTCTGAATTTTCTAGTAAGTCCTTAGACATCAACACTAGTTGAACTTTGAATGATAATCATACTAAATTTACTCTTAAAATAAGAAAAGTTGGTGTGCAAATCTGTGCATCTTTACCATCTAAACTATTGATTGTTGCCTTCTCAATAAAAGTGTAACCTTTGGTAAAATCCTTCATAAAAGATTAAAAATATTAAGCATTAATGTGTTAATATTATCCAACACATGTACATGTTAAGGTGTCAGTGAAGTTTAATTAGTAGTATAATATTTATTAAAGTAGAGTGGCTTATGAAAATATTTCTATTTTTATGCAGAAAACAATATTTTTAAGTATCTAAAGAACAATGAGAAATTAAAATAGATCAAAAATTTCTCTTTAATCACTACTTTATTTAGGTAAATATAATTATTTCGCCATTTTTTTCTCAATTTCAAAGTTGATTCTCAACATATAAGCATTTTCCTTACAACTGAACTGATTTTTCAAGGGTAAATTTTCTTGGAGTCTGCAGATTTTCATTTACCCAGTCACAAGACACTCAATTCAAGATTTCTTTCTCACTGAATTTTGATGTATCACAGACGTTTTTATGTGGAGACTTAAACTAAGCCCTCTTTACAATACAGTTTTACTAAAACTTGCCTCTACTCTAGAGAACAATATTATTCTTGATTAACATATACAGCTGCCTGAGTAGGCTGGTTTCTTAAGTCTGGTTTTCTCTTGGTAAGATACAGAAAGAGTCATTTTCAGAGTGTATTGAACACTTAGAGTGGACAGAAGGGTGTACAAGAAGCAGGAAACTCTAAATGTTGTATCAATATAACACAAAAATAATTTCACACATATTTTTTTTAGTTAGCCCAGGAATGCTCTGCTAATAATAGAGTGAGTTGTAATTACTATCCATTAACTTGAAGCTCCTTATTTCGAAAAATATTTTTATTGGTACACTTTAGTCATACACTGGGATCTTGTACGTAACATAACACATCTTGGATCTTACTTTTTCCCCGTTCCCCTTGCTTCCCTGAAGCTCCTTGTTCTGACCTACCACTGGTTTTAAGAGTGCTTGTTTGGTCACATCCTCAATTTAACATAGGTATCCTCTGTTCTTTCACTAATTGACAGGGCCTTATGGTAGCATTTCTCACTTCACAAAGTATCTATCTGTTTTCATCAACATGTTTATCTGCTTCCATCGTACTGACCAGACTAAGGATCCCTTTTTAAAAAAAGAAGTCTTACTTTAATCTCATATTTAACAAAGGTTACAGTGAGAAGCAGCTCTATAAACTCCTGTATCATAATTCATTGATACAAACACAAGTGTGAGTGAAAGACACAGACAACAGCATATACAGGCATATATACAATACACATACACATATGTACCCCTAACATAGCAATATGTTCAAATATATTTTTAACAGGATGTCAAAATACAGAACTTTCTGGCTCAGTTATAGCTGAAGTCTTAGGACAACAGCTGGCAACGACCTCCTATTCCACGTTACTTTAACAATGGTACCTTGTTTAGTCATCTGAAGAGCAACAATAATGGAGATCCGTAATGAATTGTAGGTTACACATGTGACAAGTGCCTGGTTTGGAGCATAAACATGCCAGGCAGGAGGGAAAGCTCCTGGTTCACACCAGGACAGCATATTTTGGAAATTTCTAAGAGCTTAACATTTTGAGTTAGCGTTTTCAAAGAATTTGAAACTAAAAGGTTCTTTTCTGATGACATGCAATACTTTTCCTGACCTATAATCCCCTTCATTATAATTTGGCCAACCAGTTCAATAAGGCCATGCCCTTGAGGTTCTTTATTTGGCCAGATGGTGAAAGGGTTTTGATGGTAGAAGTTGTTAATCTTAGTGAGACAGCCAAGAGATAATCAGAAGAGCTCCGCAAGAAAAGAATGGTGATTAAGGCCTTCTCTTAACAAGAATAAAAATCTAAAATCTATTTCCACCATGAATTATTTCATTACTATATAGGCTTATAAAATGATAGTGATCCCCAGTTGGTTCTTCCTATACTTTCTTTCAAACATGCAGTGTACGCAGTGTGAACACTTCACATCTACTTTGAAGAGAAGTGACTTTAACTGCTAAACTACTAATGTCTGCTCTGGTAGAATTTCTATTCATCTGCGCACTCTGATAATCACATCCTCATCTGATCTTGTCTACTTCAACCTTGTTTCCCTAAATGATCATCATTAACCCTATCTATGTTATTGCTATATAAGGAAGGCGAGTCTGGAGTAATAATGATGTCTGATTATGTAACTCTTTTCCCAGAAGAAGAAGAAGAAAGAAGAAAGAAGAAGGAGAAGGCGAAGGAGAAGGAGACGGAGAAGGAGAAGAAGAAAGAGAGGAAGAGGAAGAGGAGGAGGATGAGGAAGAGGAGAAGGATTCACATTTTAAACTTTTTCCCACAAACAAACAAACAAACAAACAAACATAAAGCCCCCTCCAAGCTGGGTAGACAAATCCTAGAACTTGATGGGGAAAATGGCTAATCAGCTTGAAATGATAAAGACAAACTTATAACTGAGGGAAAATTCTTGATTGTTTTGAGAAGGCATCTAACTATTTTTAGAATGCTAGAAATTTCTCTGCAACTTGTGTTATTGATATTATTAAATAAGAACTACTCAAGGGAATCTTTTCACTTCTTTTGGAACATAAAGTACTCGGGTCAAAGTTAAGTAAACACTAGATTGCATTAAATCCTTATCTTCTCTAACCATTAAGCATCAGGCATGATTTGATTCAAATGGTGTTTCACAATCAAAAGAGGCAAAAAATGTAAACAAAAAGATGTTCATCTGCTTCTTTTTGATATGTAGTTTTGTTTTTATGACAACTGTTAATTATGAGAGAATTTTAGGGAAAATATAAATTACCCTTATCATATGGGATTTTCATAAAAACTAATAGGATTTGTTTCTGGTGATTATAAAAACATATGTTTAAAGGCAAAAACCATTTAAACCATGCTCATATATAAGTCAGGGTTTTGTAGATAAAACAGAAACTGCTCTAAGAAGTCTAATGAAAAAATATCTTGATCCATATATAAAGTCTGTGCACTGTTGGAGCAGCTGAAGGAGCAATAGTTAGTGAAGTAACTGCCACCAATGTCAGCTTCCTGCTGCACCAACATGGTTGACCCTTACCTGCTCATGTGAAATGATTGATGAACTTTACTTCAGCTCCACAGCCAAGGGGCTCCTGGCAACTCCTGCTAGACACTAATGATATCTCCTTCTCTACTGTCTTCCAGATCTCATGAGAAATCTGCCTTTTGTGCAGACCCTAAACCAAAATCTTAGAAAAAGCGATTGGATGCAGGGGTTCTTTCCTGCAATACAGAGGAGGATATATAAGGGTTTGGCAATCAATATTTGTTGCATGAACTCCTAAGTGGAAGAATAAATGCATGAAAAATGGTTATCTTAGTAGTTTAAGGCTTTTCTAACCTTTATGAATAGTAAAATTATAAGTAGAATGAAAGGAAGAAAAGTTAGTTGTGGTATTTGAATGCTTACTCTCTACAAGCCAAAGTCATCTAGATGATTTGTTTGTAACAAAGCTGAAACTATTATGAACTAGACTTATTATAGCTTTAGCTATATTATTGTTTTAACATCTTTGGCCATTCATTTTTTCCTTTCTAAAAATTTTTTTGTTGGATATTGAACTCAGGGCCTTACAAACAGCAAGATAGGCAGTCTGCCTGAGCTACATCTCTAGTTGGTTGTCCCATTTCTGATCGCACAGACTCCCCCCGCCAATTCTGCAGTTATATTGACTAGTTTTCTACTTAACAAATTGAAGTTCTAATCCAATTTTGGACATCCATAGCTTGCTTTCCCTCATCATCTTGATTGAAAAATTTTGAGTTCCCAGTCTTTCCAATCATATACTATAACCTTTGGTGTTTTCTCAGAGATGAATAATCATATCTCAGAAAATGGATCTTAATGAAGATTAGGTAAAGAGCAGACTGACTCTCCCTATTTCTTAGATTATTGCTGTAGGTGTACCATTAAAATTGAATAACGGCTCCATTGATTAGTTCTGTGACATTCCTAATGTTTCCACATTTTAATTAGTTTTTTAAAGCCAGTAATTATGCTTTTAAGACATAAGAAAAGATTATAATCCATAGACTAGTAAAAATTATATTCTAGTTTCTAAACTAAAGGTAATAAAGCCTCTAGAACTGTGATTAAAATATTCTTCCACAAATAAACAGTGACAATTCTAAAATATTACTAGAGTCAATTAATTTTTTTAGAGCAGGAAATATCATTGTTTTAATAATAATTCCTTGGAAGCTCCACTATATATTTTATTGCTGTGTAAATTTTAGCTAATACGGTGCTTAGGATGAAACACTAGTGTACTATAATAATTAATTTAAAGTAGTTCTGACAGATATTGTAAATTTCTTTAGAAACTGGAACCACTAATTAAATAATCAAATAATAATATTCTTGGCAGGAGCATGGAGTCATGGTGAGCATACCTGTTGTGGTGTGGATATTGAATGTTTCCCAGACGCCCATGTGTTCAAGGCTCAGTCCCAGGTGAGGCAATCTTTGATAAACAGAGCTTTTTACAGATCCTTATGTCCCAGGGGCATGTCCTGAGGGGGATTTCAGGAACCCAGACCATGCTTTCTATTTTTCTGCTTCCTGGCTCGAAATGTATTTGCTCTGATACGATTCTGTTATGACGTGTTGTCCATAGCAGAGGCTCAAATCACTGGGGTTGGTTCATCTTGAACTTGAACCTTCAGAATCATAAGCCCAAATAAATTTATCTTTACTTCATTATCAGCCCACATCAGATAATTTGTTAGAGTAAGGTGAAGTGTACTAATACAATGCCCAAGAACAGCCAATTATTGCTTGGTTTGGAGCACATAATATGCACTTAATTTCATGGAAGGGGGATTTTTGAAATACAGACTTAGACATGGATGAAAAATTTGGCATTTATTATTTTTAAAAAATCTGACATATTTGTAGATGTCAATCCAAATTCAATACTTATTCCTTGAGTAAGAATTGATGTATATTTCTTGATAAAAATATTATTATCCATCAAGTAATATTATCTTAAAATAATTTTCATAGAATACATGCATTATGTATAACTTGATATTTTGATGTGAATATTTTGATACAAATATTTGACTATATGTCTATGCTATCCAGATATGCATACGCTATCCAGAGCCAAAAACTGAGGACTGTTATTGATTAACTAGTTAACATGCAATTGTGTTTTTATGCTTCCTAATTAATTATATTGACCAATATCTAATTAGTGGTTCCAATCACAGAGAATGAGTACTCTTTTAGTAAGTGGAGGGGGGAGGGCACAGAGTAGGAGTTAAACTTCTAAACATCAAAATTTTGCCCAAATAGAAAGATAATCAGCATTTCCAATCAAGCTGCTATGGTAATCTTAGAAGAAGGATATGTTAGCTTTCCATATCTGTGAGAAAATATCTCAGAAAATCAATTTAAAAGAGGAAAGATTTATTTTGGCTTATGGTTTCAGAGGTTTAAGTCCATGGTCACTTGGTTCTACTGTTTCTGGGCTTGTGGTAAAGCAGAAAATTATGATGGGGAAATTGTTGGAGAGCCAAGCTGCTCACCTTATGGCTGACAGGAAGGCGAGGGAAAGGGAGGAATATATCAGGGATAGGGCAGAGACCTTTCAAGAAGACACCTCAATGACCTACTTTCTTTAGCTTGGCCCCATGAAAAGCTTATTAAATTATGAATCCATTAATGAATTAATCCATTGATGAAATGAAAGCCCTGATGTCTTAGCTATTTTCCTCATTGCTGGGACACAATACTGGACACACAGATTAGTGTAGGAAAGGCTTATTTTGGCTCACAGTTTGTAGCAGTTTCCATCCATAGTTCTCTGGCTTCAAGTCAGAAGCGCTCCCTGTTGCAGAGGAGAATCTGCTCATATCATAGCTGCACAGAAGTAGAACAAAGGGCCAAGGTGGGGAGGGAGACGAACCCTTCTAGGCCATGCCCCCAGTGACCTGCCTTTTCCAACCAGATCCTGCCTCCTAAAAGCAAGTCAGCTATAAGCCCCCATTTTCTAATCACCTTTCAAGAGCCACTCTTTCAAGTTCATGAGGCTTACAGAGGCATCTAGATGGACATTATGACTTCTGATGATTCAACCATCTCCCAAAGGCCCTGCTTCTAAACACTTCTGAATTGGGGATCAAGACTTAAACATATGAAGTTGGAGGGACCTTTAAGATTCAAACCATAAGCAAAGAGCTTCGGTAGTAGGAAGAGGCAGGCACATCTGCTTATACTTCACAAAGGAAGCTCATTATTTCAGAGGAAGACCAGTTCTCATAAGAGTTAGGCAGCTAAATCTCACTGTTTTCAATATTTTGGTGGTGTGCAAATATCACTAGACATGTAGATCACAATAGAAATAGAATCATGAATATTTTTCTACCAATATGGAGCTCTTGGAACTGTGAATAGGAAATGTGAATATACAAGGCTTTATTCTTTCCTGAACCTTCAAGAATCTAGCTCTAGTCCTAGCTTCCCTAGTAAGACACCTAGAAACACGGTAGTTAACCCTGAACATTATTTTAAATTAACTGGTAAAAGGTTAATGCTCTTGGGTATTACTATATGTAAATATAAGCAAATGAACATTGTCTATTATTAATGATATTCTTTTAACTAAATTATTTTGTTGTATCTTGAGAGCAATAACAAAATATATCCCTCTAGATAGAATTAAAGAGAGTCATTGTAGACATTAATTTAGACACTGAGTCTTATCTTATTTTTATGTCCTAGCTAGGTGAGAAAAGCTCTCAAGCATTGAAACTAGGACAGTTTCCACTTTAGTAATAAGTATTTTTTCATATGTTTAAAAAGAAAAACTCCTAATGAGAACAGTGGTTGTCCAAATTTCTATAGTTTGGACAAATGGGTCATTATTACTATTGAACATGATTCACGGATTCACCAAAAATTTCTAGACTCATAAACTGACCTCTGCTGGCCTAAACTTGGTGCCCTATAAACTCTTACTGATTTCCATGTTTTTTTTTTCCCCCACTCTCTGAGAGCCTCACACTAACTCTGCTTAGTTATGGCTCTTCAGGGTCTGAGCATCATCTTGCTAAGCCTTTCTGGCCAGTCTTGGATTCTCTGATAATTGTAGGCAATGATGGTCTATTTCCAAGAATAGATTCCATTATTCCCAAATATGTGCTGAGAACAAGCTCATCCTATGTCACATTCATACTAGATAACAAATTCCTCTTTTGCCAATCTTTTCACAAAGATAATCTGTTTTATCACTTCTTTAAAAAATATGTTTTATTACTTCTTTTAAAAAAATATCATCAAATTGTTGGCTTCTTGAGGACTTAGCTAACCCACTGAAATAGTAATATAACTATCAGAATTTACCTGCTCTTAATTTAACCTTCCTAATAAGTTTGACTGATGGAATTACTATGCTTTTGTACGTTAATCTTACCTGGTAATATCAAAGTACATATTAATTGGACTAAGTCATAATATTGATTTAGAGATTCTTCTCTATATAGCCCTTATTTTGCTTACTATTATTGTTATCATCTCAATTGTTTTGCCAGTCTAACTTCCAACATAATAGATTGCCTTGTAGTCGGTGAAAAAATACTTTGCAATAAATTTACTGCTATCTAAATATCCCCTGCAAGGTTTTAAAAATTGCATTCAAACAGTAAGAAAATAATGATATCTTTCCTCTAATTAGCTTCAGGTGCAACGTTTATTTTAAACTCAAATGTCTTTGTGTTGAACACAGTAAGTAGTTATAAAAAATAGTGTGGGATTATTATCCGTGTGACTTCTTTTATTTTTTATGCCCCTTTTAAGAAAAGTTAATTTTGAAGAATGAGAATACACCCAGTGGAAACATTTTAAAGCCAAACTCCTGTATCTCAAGGAAATCATAGACTAGAATGTTTAATAGCAGGAATGGATCCTTGGGTCATGGCAAGAATTCATCTTCTACACCTTTCAAACAGGACTGTTTCTTAAAGGACCCATCTATAATTATGAGCCAATTTAGTAGGCTGATGTCTAAAGTGCTTCACAAATGTTTGACCAGGCTGACCCTGACCAGATCTTCCCTGTGAAGACAGGGCCATAAGGTTTTTCTCTATCATTTTCTTTTCTGGCATTCTTTCTCCATCAGGACTGAAGATCACCAGTCTTCACTTTTTCTGGCTTAGACCACAAGACAGGGACAGCAATTTTCATGTTCTTTACCTCTTCCTCAGCCCTTCCTTTCCAAAGACAGAGGAAACATCCGTCATCTCATTTCTGTTCTAGGCAATACTACTGTGAGACTAAAAGATGCTCTGTTTTATGTGACAATTCAAAAATACCCTCCTTCATATTCCAGGGTTATTATGAAAAATAATTTTCTATAAATGTTTGTGATAAAATTATTTTTATAAAAGTTTAAACAGCAAGTAAATTCTCATAGCAACATAAGGTTGAATATATTCTATCTTATTAAAGGCTCTTTTAAATACACTAATTAGTGTTAAACACCCTATACATGTGCAACGTGGGCGGGTACACATTGCTAAGGGAACTTTTCATCAATCACGTTTGCTGAACTTTCTTGGCTTGACATTAAGCAATTGCACATAGGATTGATGTGAATTCATTGGGCTTTCTCAATTTCAGTTGTTTACTTACTTAGTAGATTCCTTCAGCTTTTTAAAGCTCTAGTTTCTTTCTTTTTTTGGTACCGGGGATTGAATTCAGGTCCTTCCGCTTGCAAGGCAGGCATCGGAATCACTGAGCTAAATCCCCAGCCCTAAAGCTCTAGCTTCTAATGGGAGATCTTTATTGTCTCTGCTACATTTAACAAATCCATTTTCATCTCCAGAATTAAGGATTATTTTAATGTTACATCATTGCCTTTTCTCTTTTACTTTCCTTTTTAGTTTTATTTTAGGATTCCCTATATTTAAAAAGTGGGAAGGGTGGGGGAAAGGTAATAAGGGAGAGGAAAAAAATATGAGAAACTGAAAAAATGGAAATAAAGTGTTTGTAAATGGGGAGTGGAGGAGGGGGTGAAGGGAGGGCAGGGACAAGGGGAAAAATGAGAATCAAGGCCTATTATGTAAAGGTACAGAATCCCAATGATGAATGTAACTGTATTTATATACCTAGATTATATGAATAACCTCAATAAAAAAGAAAAAAAATAAAAATAATAAAAATAAAATAAAAAAAATGCATGCAGGATCTGTGTTGGCTTTGAAAGTACTGTATAACATATAATGATATGCAAAACATAGTCTCTGTCTTGATGAATCAAGATAAAATCTCCAGTAATTTTTTTGGGGGGGAGGTATTTTGAGACAGGGTCTCACTGTGTAGTTGAGACTGACCCGGAACTCACTATGTATTCCAGGCTGGTCTCGAACTCACAGTGATCCTCCTGCATCAGCCTCCTGAGTGCTGGGATTATAGGAGTGCTCCACTACGCCAGGCTAATCTCCAATAATTTTAATATAAGATTGTACCATCCCTTTGAAAATACAAAATTATATCACAAAATTATAAAAGGTAAAAATTTAAACTCTGAGCAAACAGTTACAAAACCTTTATGACAGCTCTTATTTCTACTTTTTTAGTCTTCTAGTATGTTATGTTTTATACTACATCAAGTTCCAAGAGAAATAATTCTGTTTTGTTTAGTAACTTTATTTATCTATAATATAGCATGTGACAAAATTTAATAAATGCTATTTGAAAAAACAAACAAATGAACAAACAAACAAAGCTTAGAGAAGTGATCACTTGCAGATGGTCTAGTAGGGCATAGAATTCAAACAATATAGGATAGGTACTGATATTCTAGGCACAAGGCCTGGGATTTCTGGCATCAAATGTAGACTAGGTTTGGTCTGCATTAGTAGAATGAAGGCAAGGTGAAAGGATAAATTAGGACTAAGAGATCATTTATTCTGACACACAGCAAAGATTTATTGTCCATCTAGGTTAATATGAAATTATTACATAGGAAAAATATTGTGAATTTACTAGAGATTTTGAAAGATTTCCTTGCACTCTAAAAACATATTAGCAATAAGTGCTATTTTGTGTATGGAAGTTTATTTCACAATTGTAAAAGCTGGTCAGGGAATTGCTGCAACAAGGCTATGCATGTTTGATTTGTCTATGAATTTTTCCCTGTATATTTCAAATACTCATCTGGATGCTGTCCCCATCATAGTTTGTGATTATTTCAAGATCAGAGCCTTTAAATTTCCCATGATGCCAAGGCCAATATGGCTATAAAAGAAGTGCTTGCTTAGTAAAACAAACATCAGCTTTCAAGGAGGTCATAAAATCTATGGCCACTAACACCACATAATAAAAATACAGCTCACTTCTCATTTTATATTTTTTTCGTAGCTTCTCAAAAAAATGCAGTGGAACTGGATGTGGAAATATTGTTCTGGACTGAAGAAGTCTGATTACAATGGAGACTAAACCAATTTGGAGAAAGTGGAAATTTTCATCCTTTCACAGTTTCTAGGTATCTTCAGACAGAATTATCAACTGAAATTTTATATTTAAATGTTTGTAAATATAGCCAAGTATGCAAAATCTACCTTTGCTGCCCCTCTTCTCTCCTTTCTGAATTAAAAAAAATCTTGTTTTTTTATTGTCTCAGATGTGCTCATGTTTCATTTAGGTATGAATATCTTCCTATTCTTTTCTATTTTTAGTTTTCTTATCCTTTTCTATTCTAAATTGTCTGTAGGTGCTCCTTACTCCAGTAAAAAGTATTCTACAATGATTAAACACACAGATGCTAATATTAAAATAGAATTATTTTCAGAAGACTTTGTGTTATAAAAGGCCAGTTCATAGTGCATTATTATGAAGACATGAGAAGAAAAAAAGGACAGAATTTAATAGCTTCACTACTTCTTGCTGCATAGTTTTTCTTGTTGTTTTGCCTCTTACAGTTTTAGCAAGGTGTTGCAAATATTAGAGATTGCATACATGTACATATAAGATTTGCCATGGATCTAACATAGGTGCTCATTAAACAGGAGCTACAAAAGTTGTCAGAATCAAAATGGAGGAGTGTATATTAAAGCCTTAAAAAATGGATTCAGGAGGCCATGAAGAGGGAGCTCTATGCATACTTTTCTGATAACAATAAATATCCCAAAAGACTTCCCAAATCACAAGCTGTAAAAGGCCACATCAACCTTACACAAAAGGTACTTCCAGGAAGACACCAGCAGGACAACTGGCTGTTCAACCTTGGACTGAAGCCAGCAGTGTGGTTGATACTTATTACCAATGATTCTTTTAAATAATTTACATAACCTCCCTTATTTTGTCTTCTGTGTGGAACAAGGAAAAGGAACATTACTAGAACAGTAAATCTCCAGCAAGCCATGACAGCACAAGCCAAATTAACTTATTATACAGGAAAGATTAAAAAAAATGAGACTTTGAGAAGAAGCTGAATTTTGGGCCTGAGCAGCACTGCTCTGGGCAGCAAAGACAAACACCCAGCCCATTCTCCTCGCCGCAGCTTGCCACACCTTTATTCAATACAACAGGGGAAAACAAATGTAACAGATGACTCAGGGCCGAGAGTTCAGTCCATCAGAGTAGCAAATGTAAAAGGTCACTCTGAGGGCAGTGGTAGCAGGGAAAATCTTAGAACAATGAGGAACTATGTAGAGGAAGATTTTGTTCCTCCCAGGATGTCTTTAGCTGGTGTAATCTTGTTCTGGAGCATCACAGCATCACTGGACCATTGAGGTCTTAGCTGTGACTGGGAGCCAAAATGGAGTTATGTCTTGACAATACCATAGCTGGCCTGTAGGCAGGAGAACTAGGCCTAATCAAATGATTTTTCCCAAAAATTATGTAGAATTATTCCCAACTGTCTTCAAATACCCTGTCTTGTCTTCTTTTTTCCTCCCTGGTTATGTTTATGATATGTTTATGATACAGTGCATGTCTCAGATTGTGACCCCTGCTTATTCCTTAGTAAACTCATGTCTAGAGAGTTTTGCTATTGTTATTTTAGGTTAACATAACTATTACTATCATTATAATCTTGAGCTCCAGTATTATCCCTAGTCATTATAAAAGAGGCTGAGTAATTAATTCAGTGATTAAGAGATGAATTTTGGGAGTTAGACTACCTGGGATCATATCTAAAGACAACTATTTATTGGCCTCATGATCCCAAGAAGTTCTGTTTCTAATTGATAAGAAAGAGAAAATGACAGTACTTATTTAGAGTTCAAAAGTTTAGAGTTCAAAAGACTAAATGAATTAATGTATTCGAATAACTTATACTAGTGCCAGAACAATGGTAAAGCAAATGTTAACATTTGCTTGTTAAACCAGTCTTTTGTTCGTGATCTTATTCCCATAAGCAATCTCAAGACAACTTTATCACCTAGAACAACTCCATCACTGAAATTCTAAACTGCAATGTCCCGTTTTCTTTTTTTTTTGTCCTATTTTCTAAGACAACATTTTTATACCTCTTCTCCCATCCTACATTTTTTGTTAGAAGACACTTGAAATATTTTTCTCAGTCTATGTGTTACTTCTAAGTTTACTTTTGTGTTATTTTATGAATACACATAATTCTTCTTATTCCTCCTATATTGTAAGTAAACAATAAATACCTGTACACACTCTTTCCATCCTCCTTTCCTTTTCTCGTTTTTTGCTAAAATAATTTTAACAGATTTATAATTGTTTCAGATAATCACCAGAATTTATGTAAGAGGCACTTCACTTCAAGGAGGAATGAGCTTTCTCAAAGTTGGCAAGAGACTTAAGAGTAAATTCAATGATACACAACACGTTAAATTTCACTTAGTGCAACTGATGTATATTTACTAATATAAGCAACCTCATCTACCATCCTCTTTATTAATATTTTGGTGGAGCAGCTGGTGGGGGAATGAAGTTCAGCTCTGTTGTGTCCACCTCTTTATAGAAACCTGCTTTTTCTCTGTTGTTCATCAATCTGAGAAAGACTGGGAAACAAATGACCCTGGTTAAAGGAAGATGCACTTCAAGTTTTCATCACTTTGACCCTTACTGCCATTCATTATAAGTTAGAAAGGTTTTCTTTAAGCTTCATTTTTGGGGGAGATGCTGAATAGATTCTTGGTCTTCTGTGTCTTTTGAGGAATACGTAGCTATTGTATTCTTTTTTTTTTTGGTACTGGGGATTGAACTCAGGTCCTTGTGCTTGCAAGGCAGGGGCCGGAACCACTGAGCTAAATCCCCAGCCCTATTGGATTCTTTTTAATGTTCATTTTTTTAATTGAAAAATTTGTTACATTGAATGAGGAAAGTTACTTCTTAAATATTTAACATTGAGTAGAAATATGATTGATTAAATTTCATTAAACATTTAAGCTTCAATTATAGTTTTTTTATGGCTAATCTGTTTTGATCACCTCAAATGCCCTAATATGGAGCCAAACATATGAAAGTGCAGTAATTTCTTTTTTCTTTTTGAAAGTGCGGTAATTTCAAAACATGTTACTTAAATTTAAACCTATGCTAAGACAGCCACATTGTTGATTCTTTTTTATTCCTGTACTTTTACAATATCTTCCTATTTATTATAGCTATTTTTATTTTATTATTTTAGGGCAGAGTTCGAAGTGTATTTTTTTTTCTAATTGAGTTTATTGATACATTTTAGGTATAGTACAGTTACATTTATTATTGGGATCTTGTACCTTTACATGACAGGTCTTGGTTCTCATTTTTTCCCCTTGTCCCTGCCCTCCCTTCATTCCCTCCTCCCCTCCCCATTTATAGACACTTATTTCCATTTTTTCATTTTCTCGTATTTTTTTCTTTTCCCTTATTACCTTTCCCCTACCCTTCCCACTTTCCCTACACCTTTAGCCCTTTTTTTTTCCTATTGCACATTGTCAATTATCTCATTAGGATCTTATGTACTATTATAGTTTTTCACAACAGAGAAACTATTCAGTATTTACACATGAGTGATTTATTTATTTCACTTAGGAGTATATCCAAGTGTATTATTGCGATATCATCCTAGACTTTTAGATCTTTATTGACCTTGACAAAAAGAAAAACTTTGCATAATGTCTGAGGTGATCAATTGATTCTTGTTGAAGTGTATGATATAACTGTTTATCTTTAGGTGAATTTTGCATTTGGTATCTCCTAAAATACATATAACTTTATTTTTTACAACTTGGTGTAACTCATTGACTTTTTATTAAGAGTAATGGCCTGCTCTTATAACCCTAAGAAATACAAGCATTTATTATTAATATATTCCTATAATTAGTGAGGCCGTTTGGAATTTTTGTGTGATAAGCAGTAAGAAATGGAAATTGTGAAGTTAGCTCTTCTCTTTAAGTCTTTTTCCTTTTTCCTTGTTTTGTTTTGAGCCACACATAATTATATGTATTTATTAGTACACTGTGAACCTTTAATACATGCATATGTTCTGTAATGATCAAATAAGATAATTACCATATCTATCACTCTAAGTTTTTATCACTCTTTGTGGTGCTATCTCCTTTCACTCAGCTCTTACATGCAGCTTCTGGTATAGGTTAGTCCTGGCAGGTTTTGGCACTTACATTTTCCAGGATGCTTGGCTTTCTCATTATTCTCTTTGTTCAATATTTCTGCTTACAAAGATAGAAAGACACACAAATACGGAATTGTAAAAGTAGTTATAAATAGAATAGCATATAATATTATATTAATATGCACAATAATTAGTGGAAGGAGAAACTTATAGATATTAACCAGCCCCAACAGAGCACATTATATATATCTTCCTTTGTTTACCCTTTTTTCATATTGCAGATAATAATTTCCTTCAATATTATTTGATTTTATAAATATTAAATAGTGAGAGATTTTGTTTAAAATATTTAAGAAAAGTTATTTTTTTCTAAAATTAATTTGAGGATAATTGTTAGTTCTGTGTTTTCTCACAGGTAGTTAACTTTAACCCAGATGTAACATAGTTACTGATCCATTTGCTCTACTTCTTTATTAATATATTAATTATATATCTTTTTTGGCTCCATATTTCTTTTTCTGGATGATTTAAATGGGATTTTTGAGGGCCAGGGATCTAGCTCAGTGTGCTGACGTCTGCCTTGCAAGAGCAAAGATCTGAGTAAAAACGAAAAATGGGGCTATTGAGATACAATTGACAAACTGCACATGTGTAAAGTATATAATTTGACAAGTTTTGATATATGTGCTCAACTGTGGAATCTTAGCCATAGTCAGAATATCCGTTACCTTCCCAAAGACATTTAATGTTCCTTTGTAATCATCTCCTCTTTTTCCTTCCCTTTATTTTTTCTACCTCATACTGGGGCCACAGTTGATCTGCTTCCCACAGTAATAGACTAGTTTTCATTTCTATTATTGAAATCACACAATGTTGTCTGTCTCCCAAGCTCATTACAATTATGACTAAATCCAGTCTCTTTCTCTCCACCCATATATGAATAATTCAAATTTTACTCTCTAGTTTTCATGACATAAAGATGTAATTTGTTTATCAATTTACCTGTTGATGATATTTAGGTTGTTTCCATTTTGGGACTACTACAAATAAAGCTTCTATTTATACAAGTTTTTGTGTGAATAAAGATTTCTTTTCTCTTGGGTGTAGAACTTCATTCAATTCATATGGAAGGTTTATATATTTTAGGAAACTACAAACTATTTTCCAAAATGATTAGACCACTATTCATTCCAACTAATAACGTGTGAAAATTCCACTTGTCCCACATCTGTTCACTTGTTAAGTTGACCAGACTAGGATCTAACTTTCAATCTTCCTGCATCAGCCTCCCAAAATACTGGGATTACAGGTGTGCATGAGCTTTCTGATAATTTTATCATAGCTCTTATAAATGTGTTGTTCATGTAATGTTTTTGCATCTTGGCTGAGAATCAGCTATGTCTCTATGTGTGCTTATTTCTGGACACATCATTATTTGCAATTACTCTAAGTAGTGTATGCATGAATGTGAATGTGTGCATGTGTGTGTTCTTTGACTCTTTTTTTTTAAGTTCCTTAACTCTCTTGTGTCTTGCACATGCAGCTTGACTCTTTCTGAATTGCCCTAGTCTTGTATTTTTTTCTGAGAAAAAGAACTGCATCATCATGAAGATTTGCATACAAACACATCAACAGGTACTAGAGCATTTTAATATAAACTCCACTCTGGGGACCAACAAGCATAGCACTCAATAAATCTCAGGTACTGTCTGTACTTCAAGTTTATCTGTTTTGATCATCATAACTATTTATTATTTCTTGAAATTATGTTGTACTAGTTGCTTGATTTTGTTCTTTTTAAAAGCTTTTTGAGTTATTCTAGATTCTTTCCATTTTAGAATCAACTTACCATTTTCTATTTTTAGAAATCATTGCTGGAAATTTGATTGGTCTTGCATTGAATCTATAGATCAATTTGGGGAGACTTGACATCTTAACAGTATTGGAGCTTCCAAATATGAGCAAACAATATATCTTCATTTATTCAGGACTTCCTTAATTTTTATAGATCTGGAAGTTCAAATAATTTTATTAGGGCTCTTTCTTTTAATCTCTTAGTTCTGCTTATCTCTGCTTGAATTTATTAGATACACAGGTTGTGATTAAAATGTAGACACTGTAACTTTCATCAAAATAAGCCTTGAAGCTTTATGACATGATAAATTGGGGGAAAATGAACATATCAAACTTTGAAATTATTTTTGATAACCCCCTTTGAGTTACCCGTCCAATCAGAATCTGGCTGCACCAGCTGCCTTCCCAAGATACCCTCTTCTTCTGTCCTGCCAATGTCAGTGTCTTCTAGGTCATATTACTGGCTCTGTTCTCCCTCTACCCTCGGTTCTATGCCATCTGTATTGATCACACCCAAACTGGATGCCATGGGTGAGACCAGTCTTCCTTGTCCCGTACCTATACTCTGCACTGCCTATTAAAAAGCCTTCATGAGTATCTTACTGGCTAATCAAACTTAACATGACCAGGATTAGCTTCTCACCTTCCTTCCAAAACTAACTTTTCTTCCTCTGTTTCCTTAATTCAGATTGTGTCATGCCCAACTTAAAAATCTCCAGTTTTCAAGTTATCTGTGAAATAAAATCGGAACTCTTTAGTTTTGGTACACAGGACTGTGTGATCCGGAGCCTGTGTAAACCTGTCTTCCTCATGTTCTATGTTCTCTTATCCTGCTGTACGTTAAACATCCTCAGAATAAACTATCTCTGTACCAGACCATTTCTTATTCCTCAGAGTTTTTCTCTTTTCGGTTTCCTTAGTCTCAATTCTTCTTTATAGGACTGAGTCCTCATTGAAAGGGAAGAGGCCACAACAACTAGGCCACACACACACCAAGAGGTCCGACTGGAGATTTTATTCAAGGGGTGGGAGGAGAGAGAGATAGAGCAGAGAGAAAAAGGAGAGAGAGAGAGAGAGAGAGAGAGAGAGAGCAAAGAGAGCAGAGACAGAGAAAGAGGAAGAAGAAGAGAGGAAGAGAAGAGAAGAGAAGAAGAGAACAAAGAAAGGAAGGTCCTTTTATTGGTTTTGGGCTAGGCTATTGCTTATTCATGAGGATTGGGCTACTTTTAACCTATCACAGGCCAGGTTGTCTTTTATGGGTTCAGCCCTGCAGAAACAGGTTTCAACTTTTCTGATTCCCTGTGGCCCTGGTGGGAGGGAAACTAAAGATAAGGGCATGAGGTCATTTTAGAAGCCAAGCAGTACCAGGAGAATGCAGCCTGTGCTGGCGGCAGGCTATTGCTTATTCATGAGGATTGGGCTACTTTTAACCTATCACAGGCCAGGTTGTCTTTTATGGGTTCAGCCCTGCAGAAACAGGTTTCAACTTTTCTGATTCCCTGTGGCCCTGGTGGGAGGGAAACTAAAGATAAGGGCATGAGGTCATTTTAGAAGCCAAGCAGTACCAGGAGAATGCAGCCTGTGCTGGCGGCATCACAGAATACTTTAACATGATCAATTCCCTAACACTCATTACTCAGGTTTTAGCTCTTGCATCCCCTTTCCAAGTAGGTTTTCTTTGTCTCTGCCTTTCCAACTAAAACTGTTATTCTCTCTACTTTCTTATCAGACTATTTCTAGACTTTCATTTGTCATTATAATTATCTTGTTATTAATTAACTTCACTGTATCCTGTTTGCTTTCTACCTAATGTTCACTCCTAAAGACAGACTGTGCTGGTCAGTACTGTTTTCCAACCTTTTGTGCAGTGTCTGTCACACAGAAGCACTTAATTAATACATGCTGTTTAACTGAATGTATGCGTGGGTAAATATCAGTGTCATCTACTCAATAATCCTAGACTTCTTTCTTTCCTCTCCCACAAACATGATTTATCATTAATCATTCAAGTCACAAATTTCACTCTTTAATGTACTCTATCTATTGTCATCCTTCCTCTGCACTATTCCTGCCTTAGTTTAGATCTTCTCTCCAATGTGGCTTAATTCAAGAATCTGCTAATTGAGTTCTCTGGTGCCACCTTCAACTCCCTGCAGGTCATCCTTGCATGTTTCTGAGACACAAAATGGATTAAATTTTGTTCTACTTAGATTCGTTCAAGGTATCTGAATTTCTTTTAGCTTAAAACCCAATTTTAGAACCATGATAAATTGTGTACCATCACGAATTGGCCCCTGGCTATATTTTCTTTGCTGTGTCTTCCTGCTCAGTGGAACTCTTCACTTAATTATTATGTAAGTGCTTTCAGAGTAAGACTTTAAAAAGTTCTTTAACTCTCATGTGTCTTTGTCACACAGCTTTGTTCTTTCTGAATTGCCCTTGTCATGTATTTTTTTTTTCCCCCAGAGGAAAAGAACTGCATTATCTTGAAAACTTGCATACAGACACATCCTCAAAGACCAGAGCTTCACAGTAAAAACTCCACTCCGAGGCCCAACCAACCATTGCACTCAGTAAGTTCCAAATACTGCTTGTAGCTCAATTTTATCTTTTATAAAATATAAATAAAAAACAGCATCAGCTTTGTAAGGTAGCAGTAAGCATGCAGTGCGTGTTTATTACTGTTACTAAATGTGACTCCTTTTTTCTGATATCCCCTCCATAACTTCCTTCACAGTATTTGTCATCTCCCTCACGATGTTTCTCCACCTGCAAGACAGGAAATGCCTCAAAAGCAGAACTTCTGCTATTGGAAGCTGTGTGAACTTCCACTCACCTAACCAAGGTATGGAGGCAGGGTAACAAAAGACAAGGCAGGATCTTTGCTGTAGAAATGGGGAGCCCAGGGAGGCCAGAGCTCTTATCAGATGAAGAGACTGTCTCCTGGAGCTCGCCACGATTTATTAAGCACACAGCTTCTTAAAGGAGCAAGGGGTATTGTAGGGAACAGTGGAGTGGAGAGCGCTGATGCGAGCAGGGTCCTAGCAACAAGGGAACAAGACATTCTAGCAAGAACACCTCATTGATTAATGGGAAACTTGTTTATTTTCCCCATAGATTAATTTTTGCTTCTACAGAAGTTTTGTGTATGAGTCATGTTACCCTTACCTGGACCATTGTCTTGCCATCCAAGACATCGCAATGTCATAGATCATTGAGACCTCTGCTGTAGCCATTGTTGAGGGGAGTTGTTTCATTCCTACACACTAACTTCTGGCTCTTCAGACAAGCAATTGTGGGCTAACAGGAAAACTCAGACTTTTAATATGAAAGGACAATTTATGAATTTGTAGTTTACTCAGGGTAGTCCCTATTATTCTACCTTTGTATCTCGTGATGAAGATGTGTTCACTTAACATTTGTTAAAGAAGTTTATACACTGATTAACCGTAAAATTGGTACTGGATTTATAAAGTAAGGCTTTTGCCTCCTAAAAGGATTGCCTAAATTTGCATATTTCAGACAATCTTAGTTACCTTGTCTGTCCAGGAATAAAGACCAAATAATCCATTTAAATAACCTATCTATTTAATCCATGTAGAGGGCCTCATACAGGTGCTTGTCTGATGAATAAATTTGATGAGTGAAGTGGAACTACTTGTGTGGCGGTGCTATGTTTCTCTTTATTCTCCTCAATTTTCTGCTTTGGTTCCCATATTGCTGAGTTTTCCATTGCTATAATAAGTATGTGAAATAATCAACTTATAGACAGCAAAGTTTTATTATGGCTCACCCAAACAGCAACTGAATTACACTTATGTAAGGATTAGTCACTGTCTCTTCATGGTGGAGTCTAAGACTAGAGCTTCTCTCATTGGTAGCAATGTGAAACTCCAGGTACAATGTGAAACTCCCAAGGTGGTAATAGACAAGTCTTATTCTTTATTCTGGTTCTCATTACACATAGGTGACAGGGTAAACTGAGGTAGAAGAATGCTTCTTCCCCCCCCAGTTAAGTTTATTGGTACATTTAAAGCAAACAATACAGTTATATTTATCATTGGTATCTTGTACCTTTACATGATGTGTCTTGGTTCTTATTTTTTACCCATACACCTGCCCTCCCTTCACCCCCTACACCCTTCCCTTTTTACAGTGACTTTGTTTTTCCTTTGTTCACATTTTTCTTTTCCCTTATTCCCTTTCCCTTCCCCTTCCCACTTCCCCTTTAGACATTTTCTTCCTATTTCACACTATCAATTCTGCCATTTGACCTTATTTAAACTTTTAGTTTTTCACACCAGAGAAACTATTCAGTATTTACTCAAGTGAAGACACACATTTCTAATGCTGTTTTACAGCAAATCTCTTGCTCTCTTTATTGCCTCAGATATGAAAAAATACCTGTGTGCACAATTAGGCAAAAATACACCACACCTAGGAGGAAGACAGAAGGTACATAATTAATGTCTCAGTCAATGTCTTGGGATTTATGAATGTATAAAACATTGAAATGTCACTGGAAAACCAGATAACCATTTCTGACTTATATATGTAGTAAAGTTCCTTTGCTTATTATGATTAAATCACACATTTGTATGCCACAAGTCAAGAGCCCTATTTTCTCTGAGTCCTTGTCTGTGTGAAAGCCAGGAAGGAGCCGTGGTTGGAAGTCATGGGGCTTCCACTTTACAATATTTTTACTGAAGTATACACACAGGAATATGTACTTTGTAACTTTGCTTTCATTTTATGTTGCCCAACTGAAATTCTTTTAGGAGCATGGAATTAATACAATAGACTACATTATTTATTTGTGTCAAAGTTTCCATGGTGATCATGTCATAAACATTGTAGAAGTTAATTTCTCCAGATTAGGTGATTATCTGTAAATTGTGTCATTTTGAGCTGTTTTCTGGAAAGTTAGAGCACATTATTTAGCATTTTAATATCATGTAAAGCAGAACTCTCAGAGCAATCATAAACAACTTTAGGTGTTAAAGTGATGACATTTTTAGCATGAAACCCAGGAAGAGCATGTAGTCCTCCAGTGTATGAGCTATGGCCAGAGCCTGCAGACCTCTTCCTGGAAGGTACCCCTCAGCACGGGAGCTATGACTGTGAGGCACACTCAGGACGGCCGGCAAAGCCTTCTTAGATACAAGTAGAGACAGACTCACAGAATCATGTAATTGGAAGTTAAAAAAATATCTCCTCCAACAAAAAGGCAGACCTGTTGGAGATGGGGTAAAGCAACTTGGAAAGAGGACAATTTTCTCCATGTTGCTGGTCCCCAGCAGGACCTCTCTCTGCCTGGGTAGAGTGTCTAACTCTTCAGCTGGGCGTACTCTCCACTCAGCAGACAAACACTACCCTTTCCTGTGCCAACCCTGCCAGGCTCCCAGCTGGACCAGCAGGAAGGCACTAGTGTACTGACCCAGGGTGAGAACAACCTCCTTATAATTGCAAGATGGCTGCAGCTCTCCAGGCCTCCTTTCTGTGTTCCAGGTGTGAGCCAAAGTCTGAAAGAAAGTTGAAGGGTGTCCTAAGTGCTTCTTAATACTTGCTTCACATTAGGTTTTCCTGGGAAGCTTTAAGAATCCTAAAACCCGTGCCACATCCCAAACTAAATCATGGTCTCTGGAGGTAAATTTTGTGCAGGTAATTTTGAGAAATATTGCCCTAAGAGAAAGTAAGATATTGAATCACAAATATCATTCAAACATGGTAAACTTACTTTGTTATTTTAGTACAGGAATTGCTAAACTTTATATGCCTCAGCCATTTACTGAGTCAGCTGCAGGAAAAGCACCTTGTTTCTCTCTTCATTCACCTGGATTCTTGGGAACCAGAAAACCTCTAATAGCATCTACTTTATTTAGAAGTTGGAGAAAGGATGTCATTGTTTCGGTCGAAGCAAAGCATGTATTGCATCCGACTTTGCCAGTGGAGATAGAACACTCTGGAGTTTCCTTTAACAAAAGCCTATTTATTTCACTTAAGAGTATATCCTCAATGTGCATCCATTTAGCTATAACTGTTTCTAGTTTCTCATTCTTTATGGCTGAAAAGTACTCCATTTTATAGAAAAATCACATATTCTTTATCCAGTCTTCAGTTGATGGGCATTTGAGTTGTTTCCAAGTTTTAGCTATTACAAACTGTGCCATGTAAATAGGGGAGGGTAAAGGGGGTGAAAGGAGGGCAGGGGTATGGGAAAAAATACAAGAACCAAGATATATCATGTAAAGGTGCAAGATCCCAATGATAAATGTAACTGTATTGTTTGCTTTAAATGTACCAAAAGACTTAGTGGGGAAAAAAGCCATAGAACTACTATATGAGCCAGTAATCCCATTTCATTGTATATAGCTAAAACAATTGAAATCAGGATCTGGAAGAGATATTAGCATCTTCATGTTAATTGCAGCATTATCACAATAGCCAAGATGTGAAAACAACCCAAATATCCATCCATCCATGAATCAGGACAGAAAATGTGATCTATTCAAACAATGGAATATTATTTAACTCTAAAATGAGGAAACCTTGCCTTATGTGGCATAAATTCACTTATGTAATGTACCTAAAGTAGTCATGCTTATAGGAACAGGAGTAAGACAGGGGTTTCCAGGAGTTGGAGAGAGGGGAAATGAGAAAAGCTGCCGGGCAACTGGTATAAGGTATCAACCATGTTAAGATGAGTGAGTTCTAGACCTCCCCTGTACACCACTGTACCCACACTAAACAATACTGTGTTGTGCTCTTAGGACTTTGTTAAGGTGTGGATCTCAAGTGTGGTATCCTGTGGATGCTGTTCACATGGTATTGTGAAGCTTGAATAAGGAGCACATGGAACACATAATGTGATTTTGAATTTTATTACCCCCCAAATAATAAAATACTGGTTCTTTACCACCCCCTCCAAATCGGATTGTATCATTTCCTCAGAGAAAATGAGCCAGAGAAATAAATGTGGAACAGCTGGTGCAGGCATAGTATGTTATCTGCTTTCTCTTTAAGAAGCAGTTAGAACTACCAAGGAAAAGAAGCAGAGAAAATGCCTGTAGAAAGATGGGTTGTATTGAGAGAAACCAAGAATCACTTGAGGGATTTCTGCGCTCAGAGCAGTAGCTGAAATGTGCTAATGATCAATTTAACACCTGCCATTTTAATTAGCACCTAAGGATAGACTGAAATAGAGAGAGAGAGAGAGAGAGAGAGAGAGAGAGAGAGAGAGAGAGAGAGAGAGAGAGAGAGAGAGAGAGAGAGAGAGAGAGAGAGAGAGTTGAAAAGAGTAAAATGGCCTGAGAAGCAGCCCAAGGTCAGAGGGGGAAATAAAGTACTGATGATAGAGTGGGGGGGATTATAGTTTTTAAATAAGAAAGTGTAATCTACATTTAGGAATTGCTGGTTTGTGTTTATTAGTATATCTTTTTGGTATAATGTTTGGAGCTGATGCTAATTTGTGAATTGTCTCAAGAAAATTAGATTCTAGATAAACTACTTTAAAAGATTCTCAAGGTCAGAGGGGGAAATAAAGTACTGATGATAGAGTGGGGGGGATTATAGTTTTTAAATAAGAAAGTGTAATCTACATTTAGGAATTGCTGGTTTGTGTTTATTAGTATATCTTTTTGGTATAATGTTTGGAGCTGATGCTAATTTGTGAATTGTCTCAAGAAAATTAGATTCTAGATAAACTACTTTAAAAGATTCTCCCTTTTAGTCCTGAGAAAAATAGCAGAGAGCGTGAGAGTGCTGGTTGCCTGTGTCATCTGTAACACTTAGCCTGAATTTTAGCAGTCACACTGCTATTAATGTGGGCTACTATCCAATTGGCTA